TACCTGAGGCAGAATGTCCTGGTTTTGGTTACTTTATGAGCTTTGAAATGGGAAAGAAACTGTTGCTTTTTACTGCCAATGGGTAATCAAAATCTTCTCAGACAGCCACTGCCAATTAATATCAGTTTTGCAATAAAGCAAGAATACACAATTAGTAAAATTGCTAATGATCTCTTTTATAGTTTACATATTAGTTATTTACATGGGTCAGAGGTCAACAAATCTCAGAAACACGGAGATGTTAATGGTAAAATATCAACTTTGACAATGCATCTTGACCTCAAAATCAGTCACCTGGTTTAATTGATTTGACGGTACAATATTAACATGAAAGCAATCCAAAACAAAAAAATCTTTCTGAAATATAACCATAACATGGTTTTTGGAATTCCTGACAGTGTGGAAGAAGAGACGTGCCTTGCAATGAGGTCATTTTTCATCTATCTTTTTATGATAAATTCAACAGGCTTCTTACTTGATTTACAGTGAGCTCAGAATTGAATTGCTAAACTTCATGAAGCAGAGGAATTTCTACCAAAGGAACRCTGTGAATTGAGCTAAAGTGATATTGCACAGAAGTGTTAAATTAAGTCCACTTCTCCCTGAGTGCAGAGTTCTGTGAGAGTCCCTCTCAAAGCTCCCATCCCCAGAGACCCTTTGAAATCCTGGACAGGGTATTTGATTTATCATCCCATTTTAAAGCAGATTATCTGAAAAGGGCTGAATTTCATTCTCCCCTGAAGAGTTTCCCCTCACATAAACTTGTCTTTGCTCAAATCGCTTCTGGGGTTGTGGTTTCCTCTCTGTGAGCCTGGGTTTAGCCAAGAGCTTGGCTTTGTTCTGAATTTGATGCAAACACACTTGACTGATTATCAGGATCATGAGTTAACACCTACATACCTGAATATTTTTTAAAAGATGCTGTGGACCCAACAAACAACTCTGATGAATCACTCCATGATCCACCAGCTGTATTTATTTTTTTTTTTTTTTATCATTAATTAGATGACAAAGGATAGTATTTCTCGGACAGCTCACATTCAGCAGCACATTTTGCTTGATGAAATCATGTGTTTTTTTACTTCTTTAAGTCTGGTTCCTCTGACTCTCACAGGGAAAGAGGTTGGTGTATATTTCCACCAGATTAAGTCAGTGGAATTGCCCATGTTACCCACGTGATTAAATGAGAGTGTGACCAAAGTTAATGAAATTGAATAACAATATTCCAGCCTTTGGAGACACTTTCCACTGAGTGTTTAAGGCACATAACAAAYATGAGGTTGGTAGTTGAGCTGGGCTGTGTGGGTCCCTGACATTACAAATTATAAACAAGTCCCTAAATGGGGAAATTAATTTAGTCAGGCTGGATTCAGTGGTTGTTCACTTTGATCTGAATGACTGAACTAATTTTTATATGTGAGTGGAACTGGATTCTTGACTATTTACCTGAGTTTTTTACCTTCTGAGTAACAGCTGGCTCCCAAATGCATCAACATTATAAGATTTTAAGAACTATGCTGCCCTTGGTTTAAGAACCACTCATGTGCCAAACAAAACCCCCAAAATTTCTCTTGTGAGCTTCTCCTCAGGCAATCACTTATTTCAAATTATTTTAGCATGTGAAAAAACACAGGTTCTATTTGAATGACAGACAATGCAGATCATATTTGTGGAGACATTCAACTCTTCTCCAGCCAAATCCAGAACACTCAAAACTTCTTTTCCAATATTGTGAATTGTCAGTTCTCTAACTACACCCTCTAAGACAAGGGTACTGACCTGTTKTTTCCAATTTGACTTGAAAATAAGAAATGTACTCCAAAGGAATGATRGTGATTAGAAAGAGATCCAGAAACTGTATTTTAAACAGAGTTAAGTGTACATTCTGATGTAAGTTTGGACATTCTGCCCTTGGATTTAGATACTGTGATATTAAACATTTCATTATTTATAAAGACATAGGCGAAGGAAGACCCAGAAAACATATTTATTCAGAAATTCTAGTTATTCTTTTTTTTTCTAACATGAATCAAAGCAAACTCACAAACAGTACTGACATAAGAAGGCATCCCCACTATTTCAAACACGCTTTTGCATTAAATCCCTGAAAAACATGTTTACCTTGTCCTTGCCATGGTTTAAAACATGCATAGCAAATTATGCACTGTTGTGGCCAGTAGTCAGGTCATTTTCTGAAGGCAGCAGCAGCATTCAGTGGTATTAACTCGCTCATARCATAAAGGCCAAACTCTGATATACTTCAGAAAAAACAGATCCGATATTAATCCTCAACCGTGCAGGCAATAAAAAAAGGCTCCTATCTATAAATACAATAAAATTTACCATGTGGAACTTACTGTGCTGGCAGTGAATCCCATTAAATCCCTGTGGACATTTGCAAACATATCCTATGAATGTGTCGCCTCGGTACGCTTCGCTGATTTCACACGTCCCACCATTATGACACGGATTAGGGAGGCAGGGTCCTGAGAGAAAAAGCAAAAAAAAATAAATAAATAAAGAGAGAAGTATGTGCATATCCACAATAACAACCATAATTATTCCAGTCATTTGTAAGCATTCATTAAAGAAATAAAATGCCTTGTGCAGGCCTCTTCATATTCCACTAACTCGGGGAAAAAACGCCCTTCGCTTACTTCAGACAACTTGCCAGCAYGGATTTTTATGAACAAGAAAAAATATGAAGCGTGTCACTACTCATTAATCACAGCATTATTTTTTAATGTGGGAGAAGACAGGAGATGGTGGAGCTAAATCTYGCTCTCCTGTTAAAGATAACAGGCATTCTAACTTTTGCACTGCTGAGGAAATGGGTATTAATCAAACACGGTTGTCATGCAGGGAGTGACATGTACAACGTCCCTGAATGATCACCACATGTCAGGTTAGCAGTCTCAAAAAAAATCTTTGGATGGCTCTGGGTGACTTTCTGAGATGTGAGTATCTGGGCCAGCAGGCAGCWGCTACCAAACCAAATATTCCTTTTCCACTGAGTGCCTCCACTTAAAAAAAAAACCTCTCCTGACTAGATGTTCCTTTTCCCCAACACACCACATGCTAGGAGGCAGAAAATGTCAGCATGGAGATGGGTTGGAATCTGTTGARTCTGTTGCAATTACTATATCTTTTAACAATTTTTATAACCTGAGGTCTAAAATTTACTCATTTAAGAGCACTCTCAATGAGCTACTTACATTTTATTATCTTACTAATACCACTCCCAACCTGACTGCTACCAGAAAAACATCACTTTTATCATTTTTTTTTTTTCCAATCTCATTTTAAAGAAATGGCAAGCGTCCTTTAGAAAGCCCCATGTGCAGGTATGTCTGTGAAAAGATTTGTGAAGTCAATATAAAGAATGTTATTTGCAACCTTGGCCATGTGCGCAGAGAGGTGATAATCGCTGAAAATTACATTGGGGAAAAAAAAAAATCAAGAAACAAATCAAACAAAAGAGAAAAGAAATCTACAGTATAATTTACTGACAATCAGGGCTGGGAATTACAGAATCACAGGATCACTGAGGTAGGAAAAGACCCCCAAAGCTGTGCCCCATCCCCACCTTGKTCTTGGCCCAGGAAATATTTTCCATTCCAAAATGACAGATTTGTTTTTTGTTTGACAGATTCTCACAGCAGCACCCTTCACCCAGGCATCACATTAGTGAAAATTGAGCTCCCCAAGCAAATATTAATTTACAAAGTGTAAAAATTAACTGAATGATGAGGATGTTACAGCACATTCCCCAGTTTTTTGTTTCCCATGTGGTTATTGCAATTAGAGAAGCCACACAGGTGAACATTTCTGTTACAAATTTTGTCATCAGCCTGTTTCAAGACACAACTCTGCAGAGGTTTTGCTGGTGTACATCATTAAACATGGGATATGTCTCACTGAACAAAAAAAATAATGGACCTGAAAGTACTGTAGATTATTCCAAGTGGGATTAATAGGAAAAAAAAAAAAAGGCAAAAATCTTGAAGATTAAAACAAGGAGAATGGCTGCTGCCTGTTTTACCTTTCCCCATCCACATTCTGCATCACAGTTTAAAAGTAAAGTGCAATTAAGCACTACATGCTTAATTTTAGAAAGACTCTTGTCTTTCAAGTACTATTGCTTCTCTTCATGCTATTTCTCCCTCATAATAATTTGGGAAGAAACGTATCTAATAATTTGCACTTTCAACCTCCCAATAAATATGAAATATAGAATTTTTTTTTTCAAGCCCCTATCACAGTGCTGCAGTTTGGGGAGTACCTGCAGGCAGCCTCATATGTTAATTGTTTCTATGCAAGCAGATCTCTAATCTTCCAAGAACAATAAATCTTTTAATAATTACTTTCTCGTTTTGCTTTCTGCTYTCTCTGTATGGCTTGTTAAGCACACGTTCAGCCTACTTTCATTGATTTTCTTTATATTTTGCATTTTCTCAGATCAGTCCAAACTACAAAGTCTTAAAAGGTCATCTGAGGTGCATAGTGATAAATATACTGGTGCATGACAGTATTTTTAACTAATGTTTTTCTTCTGTTAAGCCTTTCTTCTAGAAAAGAAAAATCCCCACACCAACAACATGAGCATTTGGTTGTTGTAGACAAATAATAATTCTATTTTCAGTATAAATGTTGGGTGTTTTTGCTTTGGGTGTTTTGATACTTTTGTTAATGGAAGCAGGTAGTTCAAGAATTATTTTTAGAACCACGAACCATCCTTATTAAATGCGCTGAAATTAAAAAAAATGTCAATCTCCTAGTTTTCACTCGTTAACACTGATGAAGACATGGGTTAGACTAATCTGTGTTYTAAATTAATGAATGATTGAAAATTAAAAACCTTGTGTCACCCTAGCATTGCTTCTCCTAATTCTCCAGAGGACCAGACTTTGAGTTCACACATCTTCAGGATATTTAAATCTCATGAACACCCACACATATGACACTTTCCCCTTTACTTATTTTCTTATTTATTTTTATTTCATAATTTAAAYTGAATCTACAGGACCCCTGATGCTATTTCTGAAGGTTTGGGTTTCTTGAAGGGTCTGGGGGTCAAATTCTTCCATAATTTCTCAGAAGCACCAAAAATGATGTGTGGGATGCCAGAGAATGAGAGGACCAAACCAACTTCCCTAGGGATGTGTAGGCTTTTAGACAACATGGTATTGAATGCTGGATAATTAATTCCATGACAGTCTGATTAATATGGTCTGTTATTCAGATCTATAGTAAMAAGTTAAAAAAATATCCTTTTTTTTTATTTAAAAAAAAAAAGGGGGGGAAAAAGAGCCCTCCAAACTAACACAAGATCCCCAAGCAAAAAACCCAAACAAACCAACAAAAGAATAAACAAAATATGTCAACAAATTTTCAAAAACGGTGGACTTCAGGGATTGTTGTTTTTTTTTTTTTAATCAATAGTGCTGTTATACYTTTGCAGGTAATCTTTAAGTGGCTTCCAAAACAAAGAGAACAACAACATTTGATCAATATTAATGAGCAGAGGAATTCAATTGTATGGTTTCCAGGCATTTTTATCCATGTTCATATAAAATAATGTCAGCAAGATTAATTGTGCACTCAAAGTAATAGATCTGTTCACTTTGCTGCTCTTTTGAGTCCTTCTTTGTTCAGTTCCAGGGGCATTAGCCAACATAATAAGTGCAGTCCAAAATACATCATTCTGCTATTCAATTGAAATCCCACGCCGTTTCTGAAAAAATATTGAAAGTTAACTTAAAGCGTAGCAGGTTTTAAATTTTAGATGTTCTTACTAAAACCTCTGAGACTTTATAGATGGATGAATCAAACAAATGCATCCTCAGCAGAGTTTCAAAGGGGCTGAAGGCAGAACCATGTTATCTGTTTTATACTTTGACAAGTAGAGTCAACCAAAATTTCATAATAAAACCTTGTATCATACTGCAGTGGAAATTGTATATTTGAGAGAAACCATCAGTTTGTCTATAGCAAATAAAGCCAGAAAAGCATCTGCTTTGAGAAAAATAACATGAGCGTTTATTTTGCCAAATAAATGGTGAAAATTATTCTGATGATGCTTTGGTGAGAAAAGACATTCAAAAATTAAAGGCATTAAATAAGAAATCAGCATCAGCCCATCTTCCTCACAGAGGGATTCCCCAAACTCAAAAGGGTGMTAAAGCAGAAAGGTGAGCAAAAATCAAAGCCCACTTTCTCTTACTAAGTCAAGATTAACTGGCAGATATGAAAAGTCCGAGGAGAAAATAAAGAAAAAAATATATATTCCAATGGAGTGAAAGATGAAAAATAACCACTTTTTTTACAAGTAAAATTAGGGAAAATGCAATGAAAAACATTAACACTTGTGATAGCATCAATCCACTTTCTCTTTATGTAGAAATAATACAACTTTAATGAAAAATACTAAGACAGATATTGACCTTGATATACATCAAGGCRAAGATACAAAGCTAATTGCTTCATTTATTTTGTGGAGTATTRCTGAAGCAGGATTAATAGATAATGTTATTCTGATGACATGATAAGCTATGGATCCCATCAAARCAAATATTGGGAGCTATCATCAAACTAATGACAGGTATCAAATGGTTTTGCTTTTCATTTTAAAGAAAAGTACTTCCCAGCTCCGTGATTTTGTGGCACCAGCTTTTCTGAAGTGCCTCTTGGCTTTATATGAATGTCAAATAGGGCTTTTCCCCCTCTGATAAATTGAAATTTCCATCTCTCTCACACAGTTTTAATATCAGTAGATGGAATTTTTCCTCTAGGTTTGGTCATACATGATGCTTCAGGTGCTTCCTCTRCCAAAGCAAAGTCTTCAAAATAAGATGTGGCAAAGGTTACGTATCAGGAGCTCCTGAATTTTGAAATTAATGTGTGTAAAAGAAGCCAGGGTGACAAACAACTTATTTTAACTTTATGGGAAGGCAGGAATCAGCCTCATTGCTGCAGGAGCTGACAGAATGGCACAAACTTCCCRTGGTGAGGAAGTTCAGGATGATCACACTGAATTAGGCTCTGTCTCCAGGTAATCCAACACTCCACTGCCGCTGCTCAGCTGTTCCTGCACCCTGAGGACTAAGCTGAACCATCCTGCTGTGGAAATAGGCAAAAAATCTGTGCTAGATATTTTAAAAAATGTGTTATGAGCTTAATTCTTGACTCTTTGTATTTGACTTTTTCTAACTGACGTGTATGTTTTCTTCACACAGTTAAAAATTCTACCACCGTTATATTCACAGATGATAGACCACCTTTCCTTCAGAAGTTTATCGACCTTTTCCTTGCCTCAAAAACCTCAAAATAGAGTTTTGAAAGGTCTGTCCCTTCAAATGTGAGATTGCAGAATKCACACTCGAGCAGACACAAATCCAAATTATAACATAATCCTATTCAAAAGAGACCKTCTTCCACAGAGACAGAGATGAGCATTCACATTCAGCAGGAATGTCCCTAAAGGCTC